ATCATGTCATCTGCAAAAGGTGACACTTTTACTTCCCAATTTGGATATCTTTTATTTATTTATTTTGTCTGCTTGCTCTGGCTAGAGCTTCCAGACTATCCTATGCAATAAAAGGGTAATATGCAAATTGACCCTAACAGCAGAACAACCAGAATGACCACATGGCCATTCACTATGAGGCAACTGACCACCTTTCGGTGCCTTTCCCCTGTTGGCAGGCTCCCATCACCCAATGGCATTGGGCAATCGGGGGTGGATGGCAGGGGCTGGGGCCAGTTCCAGTCCAAGGCCCCTGCCCCACTGGTCATCCTACACACAAAAGGTGACCCACAGCTGGGCTGGGGCCGGCGAGTGAGCGGAAACCGCCGAACTCTTGGTCCCTCCCCTGATCAGCAGGCTCTGTTCACCATCAGGTGAACAGGAACCAGGGGTAGGTGGCAGCAGGGAGCGGGGCCAGCTACTGGCAGCTGGGCAAGATGGCCTTGATCGCAGGCCAGGCCTAGGGACCAAACCCACTCACAAATTTCATGCACCAGGCCTCTAGTATTGAATAACAGTGGTGAGGCTAGTTTTGTGAACCAGTATATGGTCTATCCTTGAGAATGTTCCACGTACCCCGGAGAAGAATGTGTAATCTGATGTTCTGGGAATGTATAATCTTATTCCCATTGCTTTGTGAATCTTTTGTTTTGATATTTATCTTAACTGGCATAAGTTAAGATTAAATGGTGATGGATACATAGCCTCAAGATATTCACCCACAAAGATGTTAACCAGACTACTGCAAAACATATAATTGATGTCCTATAAAATCAGCTAACCTTTTGCTAACTGCTGTTGTCTATAATCAAATGGCCCATATTTATATGACCATGAACTAGATCAGCCCTGAAGAGCTCTGCTTAATGTACATCAGTTTTTGAGTGGAACCATGAGCTAAATAGAAATGTATTGTTATAAGACACTAAGGTTTTGGGTGTTCTGCCATTCAATGATGGAAAAGGAATAAAAAGACTTCTAGTTTGGACTTACTCTATTTGTTAAATCCTAGAACTCTACCTTTCTTTCTCCTCTATTTATGCACTCTCTTTTTTACACTTTAGTATCCAGTGACATGCTATCAATGTTTAAAAAAGAATAAAATAACACTTTGGCAGCATTTACCTCTGCTTGTGGTGTAAATTCTCCCACCTGGACTAACATCAAGCTACTGGACGATATAACATCCAGCTTTGAAAAATGCTCAGTATTAGCATGTCTAGCCAGGTCCAAAGAAGTCTGGTAGATCCATTTATAACATCAGCCTTGATCCATTATATGTCAAAGTTGTTGGACACCAGTTTTATTATACAGAAAAATGTTGTTCTCTCCAACACATTTTGCAGATTAATATCTGGGCCTGTAAATATTAGACCCAGATTTCTCTTGGGGAATAGAGAAATTTTCTCTTGGGAAAAATTTCTCTCTGTAGTTCATTTTTATAGGTGTAGCATGCCCCATCTCTAATATGTATATTATCAATATATGCACTTTCAATATACATCATTTTTCTGACTTCAGGGAAACAGTTACTTTTAAAAACATTTCTGAAAATTCAAAAGGATCAAATATCTATATTCCCAACATCTTTCAAAGTATTATTTAAAAGATTACCTTCTAGAAAAAAATATTTTTCTAGTAAAAATATATTATGTTATCTAATAATACTCCAGTAATGAACTACTTCAACCTTTGACTAACTAGAACCTTGCGAATAATATTTCAAATGATCGTATTTCTGGTGCCTGTCACTATGTTGGTTCTCGGTTATGAAGCCCTGTTTCCTTGTAAAAGGGAGCTGCTTTTTCATCTTGGAACTTTTTCTGGGAGAAGCCTTTGAAGCCCAGCGTCAGAATTTCTTCAAAGAGGCTTTTCTAGTTTGACTGTGAATTGGAAATCCATATGATGGCTGACTGTGCTAAGGATTCTTAGGAAGGAATGCTGAGTGAAACCCAGAGATTTTCCTTGCTGTAACATTTATGTTAAGGAATTCATTTGTACAGGTGAGGACTGATCTTGGGAATCTAGCATTACATGAATGTATGTGTGGGCTGGGGAGACTGGTAAGCGTTCAGATTTCCCTACTCTCTCACTCTTGACACCCACTATGTATTATTTAATGAAACAAGTCCTCTTTTGGTAAAAGTTTGTACATCAGAATTCCTGTTTTTACTTTGTCTAATAACTATGATTTTTTTACTTTCTTAGTAATTTTGTATTTCATCCAGAATTTTAAATATTTCTATTGGACATAAAAACATGTCTATAGCTCTAAATTTATGCAAAGGGATTCTCTAGGAAACCTGAGTTCTTAGTTTTCTTATATAATAACGTAACTTAGATATTTATCCAATAATACATTTATTTTGAGGTCAATATCTGAGCTGTATTTATATGTCATTGTTCTTCTCCAGCTTTGTTTGTGCTTTACCAACAGAACTTATGCAATGCCTAATTGTGCAAAAGAGTAAAGCTCCCCAATTCCTGACTCTAGAGTTATCTTTGCAACTTCTAAGCAAATCTACTCTGGATTTTTGTTTTTCAATATAACAGAAACATTCTCAAGGAACTTGAAATTTCAAAAATATGTCTCTTTCAAATTAATGAATTGTATATGATTTTATAACTGAATATAACCCTGGATAGAACTATGTCACACTCAGAACACAGAATTATTAATATTATCCTTTACTTCCAAATGATACTTTTCAAACAGCTAAATATCATACTTAGAGACTTAAAGTATTATTTCTTCATTTCATTCCTCCACCAAACAACATCTTCATAAGCTTTGTCCCTCCTCAGTTCACCCTTACCACCTAAGATCCATCTCCCTTATAGGTGTACAATAAGTGTTGGCTTAACTGACACATTTTCTGCAATAATATGTAAACTTTAGAATTGGAATTGTATCTTACTTATCTCTTTATTTCTTGGACATTGTATAGAATCTGGCAAATACTTATGCTAAAATTGCTTCTTGAAGGCATGACATATTCAAGGATTTGGAGACAATTTGAATGGATGAATGGGTGGATGGATGCATGGATGGATGGATAGAAAAATCTATGTTTCTAAATTTACCACCCTCCTTCTCTCCTGAAATGGAAGTGTTCATGGTCAAATTGGTATCTCCACAGACTTGTGCAATCCCTAACTCACACACTGCAGGTCAAAAACTCTTCCCATAGCTGCTCCTTCTTTTGTGTTTCATGATTTTGCTAGAGTCATTATCATAAAAATTTATAAAGAACTTACAAATCTCAACACCAAAAACAAACAATCCAATTAGAAAATGGGCAAAGGACCTGAAGAGACACTTCTCCAAAGATGACATACAAAAGGCCAAGATATGCTCAACATCACTAATCAACAAGCAAATGCAAATTAAAACCACAATGAGATATTCCCTCATACTTGTCAGATGAGCTATCTTCAATAAATCAACAAACAAATGTTGGTGAGCATGTGAAGAAAAGGGAGCTCTCATGAATGTTGGTGGGAATGCAGATTGGTACAGCTATTGTGGAAAACAATATGGAGTTTCAACAAAAACATTAAAATTTGAACTTATGACCCTGTGATTCACTTCTAGGTATATATCCAAAGAATCCAGAAACACTCATTTGAAAGAATATATGCACCCCTATTTTCATTCCAATATTATTTTAATAGCCAAGATTTGGAAGCAGCCCAAGTGCCCATCAGTAGATGAGTAAATAAAAATCTGTGGTGCATTATACAATGGAACATTATTCAGTTGAAAAAAGAAAAGAAAAGAAGAAGAAGGAGGAGGAGGAGGAGGAGGAGGAGTAAATCCTATCTTTTGTGACAGTATTTATGTACCTGAAGAATATTACGCTCTTTGAAATAAGCCAGTCAGAAAAAGACAAGTACCATATGATTTTACTTACATTGAAATCTAATGAACAAATAACCTAACAAACAAAAGAGAAAGAAGCTTATAGACAGAGAAAACATACTAACAGCTCTAGAGTGGGGAGAGTTTTGAGGGACTGGGTGATAAAGGTAAAGGGATTAAGCAAAAAAGAGAAAGCTCACAGTATGGTGATTATCAGAGGAAAAGGTAGGTGGAGGGAGGTAGAAGAGGGTAAAAAGGGTATAGATGATGATGGGAGGAGATTTGACTTAGGGTGGTGAACACATAATACAATATATACAGATGCTGTGCTATAGAATCGTATACCTGAAACCTATATAATTGTATGAACCAATGTCACTCCAATAAATTCAATTTGGAAAAAAATTAATGTGTTTTTTTTTCTGCATTGCTCTCTGTTAACCTCAACTCTAAACATACTGAAGTGATGTTCACTTAAGTGGTCATGATTTCCCTATAGTCATTCTTTTCCCTCCATTTACCTTCAGAACCCTCCTTTCACCCTGCCATGTGGGCTCAGCTGAAATGCCTCCTCCAACCTGAACCTCTGTCTAAGTTTCTTCACAGTGGAGTGACAGCTTCTTCTGGTGCCCTGAAACACTATATTTACTATATTCCTCCTGTTATTACGTACTATATGTCTTATCCACATACCAGCAATACCAGCATGTAATCATCTTTCTGACAAAACCTATACTGTATGTTTCCCCAAATTATCAATCATCTTGTTCCATAAGATATACCATGTTATTTACTAGATCCACAAAAATGGGTTACTCTACTATATTTTAAAATTGCCAATTAAATATATTTTTTCTATTTTGATATAATTAAAGCAAACTGCTAGAATACTGCAAACATTGCCTACAAAATATTTAAATATTTCAGATCTTCTCCTGAGCAAGTATCATGTAGTAGTGGGCCCAGTCAACAACACTGGCAAAGTTCTGTGCATCTGTGAGTCACCAGATCAATTAATTTTTAACTTTATGTTTAAATTGCCACTTCACCTCTGTGCCCAGCAAATATTCACCCGCAGCAGCCCAGTGGGTGCAAGAACTCTGCCATGCTGTCCGAGAAGTGGATTTCAGCGGCTCTGCTGCTGCAGCTCTGCTGCACTGGCTCTGGATCCTGTGGGAAGGTCCTGGTGTGGCCCTGTGACATGAGCCATTGGCTCAATCTAAAGATCATTCTGGAGAATCTCGCAGACAGGGGGCATGAGGTGACCGTGTTGGTTTCTCCAGACTCGCTCATCATTGACTACAGTAAGCCTTCCACACTGAACTTTGAGGTGATCCCTCTAGCTCAAGAGGGAGATTTTTTTGCAAATAAACTAAATGACTTCTTAGACTTAGCTACTACTGTCATGCCAACAATGTCACGCTGGCAGTCAGCAAGAAAAATGCAAGAATTTCTTCTTCAACTAACTGGACGTTTAAAACTTCTGTGTGAGAGTGTAGTCTACAACCAGTCAATCATGAAGAAACTCCGGGAAACCAACTACGATGTAATGGTTATAGACCCTGTGGTGCACTGTGGAGAGCTGATTGCTGAGTTGCTGGAAGTCCCTTTCGTGTACACACTGAGGTTCTTTATGGGTGGCACTGTGGAGAAATACTGTGGGAAACTCCCAGCTCCACCTTCCTATGTCCCTGTTGTCATGAAGCAAGAGAAACATAGGAATTAATGTCACTCCAAATCTATACTTGTATTTATATAACATTTAAAACACTTAACACTAAAGTGTTAAGAGAATCACACTAAGATAAGAGACATAAAATTTCCAAGACAATGTTCCATGCATGTATTGCCCTTGAAGACCTTCCAGTCAGACAAGATGTGGAGATGGAAGACAGTGATATTGATCATCCTGTCCCTTGTAGGCCTAAGCTAATGTATGGTTTTTCTTAGTTTATAACAAGAAAGCTTAGAAACTTAAAAAAATTTAAATATAAAAAGCTTACAATATAAGTATATAAAAAAGAAATTATTTTTGTATAGCTGTACGAAGTATTTGTTTTAAGCTGTTATTACAAAAGAATAAAAAAGTTTTAAACATTAAAAAGCTTATATAGTAAAGCAGTTAAAGTAAGCTAAAGTAAATGTATTACTGTAGAAAAATATTTTCATACATTTAGCATAGGTTAAGTGTACAGTGTTTATAAAGTCTACAATAGTGTACAGTAATGCCTCGGGCCTTCACATTCACTCATCACTGACTCACTGAGCAATTTCCAGTCCTGCAAGCTCCTCTCATGCTAAGAACTCTATACAGGTATACCATTTTTTTAACCTTCTATGCCATATGAATGCATTACCTTTTCTATGTTTAGATTTATTTAGATGCACAAATACCTGCCATTGTGTTACAACTGCCTACAATATTGGTGCATATAAATAAATTATGGACGGACATATGCTTTACGGGTTTGTACCCTAAGAGCAATAAACTATACCACATAGCCTGAGTGTGGTGGAGGCTATCCCATATAGATTTGTCTAAATATGCTCTATGGTGTTCACACAATGAGAAATAACCTAGCTATACAATTTTCAGAACATATTCCCATCATTAAGAGACACATGACTTTATGTAGAAAATACGAAAGAACGAACCAAAAAAACCCCTTCCTGGAACTAATAAGAAATCATAGCAGGAGTACAGTATACGAGATTAATATGGGAAACTCAATCACTTTCCTATACACCAGTAATGAACAATTGGAATTTGAAATTACAAACACTATCATTTATAATAGTACCCCCAAAATAAAATAAAGATCTATATGAGGAAAACTATAAAACTCTGATGAGTGAAATTAAAACACTAAGTAAATGGACAGATACTCCATGCCCATGGATAGAAAAATTCAAAATTGTCAATATGTCAGTTCCTCCCAACTTGATCCAAGAATCAATAAAATCCTGATAAAAATTCCAGCAAGTTATTACATGGAGATTAACAAACTGACTCTAAAGTTTAATGGCAAGGCAAAATATTCTGAACAGCCAACACAATATTTAAGGAAAAAAACAAAGTTGGAGGATGATCACTGTCCAATTTCAGGACACAGTATAAAACTAGAGTAATCAAGACAGTGTGGTATTAGCAAGAGAATAGACAAAAAGATCAGTGAAACAGAGGAAATCTATGGAATAGAAACACACAGACAAGACAGTCAATTAATCATTGTCAAAGAAACAAAGGCAATACAATAGATAGTCTTTTAAAAAGTAATGCTGGAACAACTGGACATCCACATGCAAAAAATAAATAAATATAAACACAAACCTTTTAAGCTTCACAAAATTTAACTCAAAAGTGAAGTATCCATAGAAATGTAAAATTCAAAATTATAAAACTCCTAGGAAATGTAGGAGAAAACCTAGATGATCTTGGGTATGGCAAGGACTTTTTAGCTATAACATCAAAGGTAAAATCCATGAAAGACAATGAATAAGCCGGACTTTGTTAAATTTTAAAAATTCTATTTTGTGAAAGCCAATGACAAGAAAATGAAAAAATAAGACACAAACTGGGAGATAATATTTGCAATAAAGATGTCTGATAAAAAAACCTCTTATCCAAAATATTTTTAAACTCAACAATAAGAAAATATAAAACCTAATTTTAAAATGGATCAAATACATTAACAGATACCTTGATAAAGAAGATATACAGTTGGCAAAGAGATAAGCATATTAAAAATGCTCCATATCATTTTTCATGAGGCAAATTTAAATGAGATACCACTACACATTTTTAGAATGACCAAAATGTAGAACACAGATAACACCCAATGCTGGTGAGTTATGGAACAAAGACTCTCCTTTTTCATGAGTGGAAATGCAAAATTGTACAGCCACCTTAGACAACAGTTAGGAGGTTTCTTACAAAATTAAACATACTCTTACCATACTATTGTGCTCCTTGTATTTACCTAAGGAGTTGAAAATTTATGATCAAACAAAGACTAGCAAGTATATGGTTATTGCAATTTTATGCATAATTGCCAAAACAAGGGTATATGGGATATCTTGACCATCCTAAAAATTGTTTTTAAAATATGAATTTTTTTATTTATAAGTAAATATAAATGTATTGTAAAGTATTAATTTTTAAACAGTGATTCAGAAATTATATAAATTAGTTTACTCTTATGCCTTTGGAAAGAAATTAATAACTTAGGGAGCCTAGGAAAGTTGTCTATCAATATCAACCCAGCTAACATGACTTACTTCTGAGAAATTGGTCACTGTCTCCCATGAAATTCTCACCTGTATATCTCATCTACATGAGCCATTTTGCCATAAAGTCAGGCTACATCTAAGAATTCTTTCAAAAATCATTTCAGTAGACTCACATGTAGGATTAAAATAATATATTCTTCCAGCTAGTGTGGCTAAGTGGTTGAGCATTGACCTATGAACCAGGAGGTCACACTTCCAGATAGATTCCTGGTCAGAGCACAAGCCCAGCTTAAGGACTCGATCCCCAGAGGGGGGCATGCAGCAGGCAGCTGACCAATGATTCTCTTTCTTTCATCATTGATGTTTCTCTTTCTCTCTCTCTCTCCTTCTCCCTCTCTCTGTCCCTCTCCCTCTCCCATTTCTCTCCCTCTCCCTCTCCCATCTTCTATGAAATCAATAAAAATATATTTTAAAAATAATAAAAATATATTCAAAATAATAATATTGACATGATAAGTGAAATGTGACAGCCCACTTATTAATTATGTTATTTTCACAATTTTCCACTGTATTCATCACTCATTTTGTGTAATATAATGAAGGGAAAAAGATAAGTGGTGAATTTTAATTCTATATTTTTGTTTCATAATTGCTCAGTATGACATATAAAATGTTTTATGAAATTATTTATGAACTTCTGCATACTTTTGCTCAATTTCATTCTCTTCACTTGATTGGCTTTAGATTTTATACTGTGCTGCTTCAGATACAGATTTTCAGTGAATACTTTAGGTTAGATCTTTCTTAAAATGTGGTCTACAGGTTATGCACAATAATTTTACCTAGGGGTTTGCTAATCAAGCAGGATATCACACAAATGGAACAAGACTTCTAACGGGCATAAACGTTTTGACATAGAAGCTGTGAGGCGATGTTCTCATCTAATTTCTGCCAACTTCAAGAAGTTGAGTGTCTTTGAGCAATGCTTCTTCATTATCAAATTAGACCATCTGACTATACAACCTGAGACACATATTCAAACATACAAAATAATGACTAAAAAGAGGCTACCTAACCTGGGGTGTATATGATCACTAATGTCTATTAGAATCCTCAAGAAAGGAGGATTGTCACCTAAAAGGAGGATTTTTTTCCTTAGATACAAAATATGTTTGCTGTGTATATAAATGGTTGACTTGGTCATTTGCCAATGCTCTTCCAACAAATCTTCTAAAATTAATACTTAGACTCCGTCCTTTTCAAGGAACACCTTTTAAAGGCAACACTAAAATAAATGTGTGATATTGGTAATGTGTAATGTATACTTCACATTCTAAAAGGAGTTGTACTGGTTATTAATTACTCAGAATTCCTACCTAGAAAAAATGATGAATGGATTGAAATTGATTGGATTTGTCTCAGGAAGATAAGTTAAACTGATATTGTTGGGATTCTTCAACAATATGAGTGAATGAGAAAGTATATGAATCAAGAAGATGGAAATATATTCCTGACAGGAAATTAGAAAACTATTGAGAGGTGATTTGGTGCTAATATGATGGGGTTAATGTATCATCTGCCATTTAATTGGAGGAAGACAGTGAATATAAAATTTATCAGTACTTGGAGTTGTGGTTAAATTTTTTTATTAATTTCTTTTTTTGTGAATTTATTTTATTCATTGTTATTTGATTTTTTTGAAATTTATTTTATTGAATGTATTCTTTTACACATTACTGTTCTTTCACTATCCAAATATTATCTCTACCGCCTTCTCTCTCTCTGTTCCATATTACTTTAAATTCCATTTTTTTTAAATCTAGACATAATCAGTAATCTAGAGGGCCTAGATTTCTCTTTTTCCTTAATAGCACATCAGAAAAGTAATTTC